ACACTGCAACAATTCGTCTTTATCGGATTGGTTTGTCTTCTGCGTTTAGCGTCCAGTTTGTACTTCGCTGATGCCGTTGTTGTCAGTCTTCGGAATACAGCATGCTCCAGTGGGTCACCTAGGACTATTTCGTCGTCCTCACTGTCGACCAATGGACTCACTAAAACTGATTTCCGCTTTTCCGTCAAACCGCTTGTTGAAGCATTGGTGGATTATTAGTTCTCACCTTGATGCTCGTAGACGGAAGACAGATACGCCTAATATCCGTAGTCTGTGTTGCCCAGCTCTGTCTATCGAGGTTTTAGGATGATCGGACTGACGGATGTTTGACGCGGCGGGACGCCTATTGCCTCCCAAGCTATGAGAAGGTCTACAACCTTATGTCCCACGGGGTGGACCATGAACTTGAAATGAAGAAAGAAATTAATGGCAGTGATCGACTGTGGGAGGTCAGCGATGTTGAATTCCCATTGAAACCTAAAGCGAATTCCGAGGTTCAGTGTAAATGAACGCTCACCGTAAGTTATGAATGGGTTTGGTTTGCTCTGGCCAACCCAATAGTTGATGAATCATGTTAATCAACGAGACCAGGGCGGATAACGCTAACTTGGGTACCGATGTCGACTAGAAAACGCGTGCCAGTGACCTCGCCTGTGACGTAGAATAGACGGATTGGTTTAGTTAAATCCGACACGGTATACGCCTGGACCGGTCGGTCTAGGCGTTTCCCTGCTGTGATGATCCGTAAATCCATGATTTATTGCACTTTTGGGCTGCGAGAAAGTATTGGCGATGGTACCAGGAAATGTCTCAAGAGATACCTCGTGAACCACAACGTCCCTGTCTGCTATGGGATCGCGAAAGGGAGGAGGAACGGGAACGGAAGCTTGAACGGGGGCTGGAATGCTATCGATCGCAAGAAACTTTGAGGACCACTGCCTGTGTCATCAACTCGTCCAAACGCCGACTGAAGCTTTCACTTGCATCCTGTCACAAATAATTTCCTGACTCTGGGATTATGCGAGTGACTACTAAGTCCGATGGAGTGCGTGCACAAACACTATCGGCTGCTTCTATTAGCTCGACTAGGATAGAATTATTCGCGAAAACTAAGGAATGTTGCGACGTAATCTGGGAGTACTTGCATCCAAGATACGCGCAGCACGTCTTTGTTTGCATGCAGGTTGGAAGCCTGACTCATATACCTGAGTAGATGTGTGGGAGTAATAAACCCGTTATCCCCTAGACGAGTTCTGTGCAGCAGCTGTTTGAGACGGTTGTTCCCCATCATGCAGGAACGGCTAATGACTGCACATTTTTATGCATCACTCCTATTCTTTCCTCTGTTTCTGCTAGCTTACATGAGTATTTTGCTACATATCAAATTGTTAAGGGCCTCTCGAGACGCGATCCCCGAACACCACAACAAACCTTCACCCGCCTACAAGAGAAAGAACGGGAGTACGTGCGGTTACGATAAGTGCCATTCAGGGAAAGTGGAGGAAGGTATACGGTGCAGTACGTGCTGCGCTTGGTATCACATCAAATGTAGCGGGTTATCCCAAGTTTACGAAAATGCAAAAGCTTTAACTGGAACTGCGTTCTATGCAGATCACTCATGGCAAACGCTGTCCATCTAAAGGAGCAAATCGGAGGGGAACGAAATGAACGAAGATGTGCCAAAGTGAATAAGGAAGATGAGTCCAGCAAAGAAACTGCCCGTACTTCGATTAAAATTGCGGTTTTTAGCCCTAGAGAGAATCTGAAGGGTGGAACATCACCTAAGCCCTCAGGGAGAGGAACAGTTATTCCTATCACTGTTCCAAAAACCGAACCCGCTGATCAATCAGTGGAGGAAGAGGAAAATATCCTTTAGAAGCCGCTACGTCCGACCAAAACGGAAACTGCAGACCACAGGCACGCTTACGGCGCGAGCGTCTTCGGGAACAACCGCATAAAGTTGTAGCCTCAGAAATACTGAGCCGCAGGTGTGCAGTAGACCAGGGAAATAGAAGGCTAGAATTTGAACTAGCCTACTTTAAGAAATCTAGCAACATTGTACTCGGTAGGAATGGAAATGTGGTAATACACGGCATCCCGGAGACCACGATGAAAGAAGGCAGACAAAGGGACCGGGCAATGAGGTACCATATTGTAAACCTATCAATAATGCTAGAGATCCCAGGACTTATAGCCAGTAAGATGGTCGTGCGCCTCGGATGCTGGTCAGGGATGGGGTCAGAGCAGGGCATACTCCCAGGCTTGCCGTTGTGGATGTCACAAAACCGAGGCATCAGAACTGGTTCCTATCATCGGCAGGAAAGACAAGCCGCAGCACTAAAGGTGAGGTGAATGTGTGACCTGATGATGCAGCCCAAAAGAGAAAAAGCCCTATACTCACGGGCTCAGTAGAATCTCCTAGGTTTAACACCGCAAGAACGGGTCAGCTTGAAGTTGAGTTGAGTTCAATTCAGTTTGCACAGGACGAATACGGCTCTTGCCAATCGAGCGTCCAGTTTATTGTGTTGTCGGTGGATGGGAGTAGCTTCCAACATTGCCTTCAGTTGACTGGGTATTTGTGATCCTCTCAGTTCAACCCCGTATCCAGAACGTTGTCTCCTTGGGTGTATGCTGAAAGGGAGGAAAAGAAGCAAGAATATTTCAACGCCTCATTAGTTAGAGACCTCAAGTACATACGCGTTAGTATACACAGCTTACATGTGACAGGATAGTCAGGTTTTAGAATAATTTTAACGCTGAAGCCCAATTTTATATCATTTCACAACTTCTGGCTAAAGTAAAAATTACTCTTAATGTTCCCAGTCTAAGTACTAACTTCGGGAACGTTTCTGACCAACATGCGTCCAGTGCCTTGAAGGTGTTAACATTGGCGCAGTTGACCGCTTCTGCGGGTAACCTGTTCCACATGGGTATGACCCTGTGTGCGAAGAAGTTGGCCCGTACTTCTAACCTGGCGTGGTTCTGTTGGACTTTATAGCCATGACCTCTCGTGTTTTGAGCACGAGAAATCGTAAACAAATCATCTAGGTTGAGTCCAGATAGACCTCTTACAATTTTAAAAGTCTCTATCAGATCTCCCCTCATTCGTCTACGCTCCAGCGAAAAGAGATTTAGATCTCGTAACCGCTGCTCATNTCCCTCCTGTAATACGGTGCCCATGCCTTCACACAATATTCCATGTGTGGGTGCACAATCGATCTATACAATGGGGTGAAAACCTCAGGCTTTCTGCATGTCACTGTGGCACACAACCTGAACAGCTGCCCGTTAGCCTGATTAGCAGCCTTGGGACACTGAGTTGAGGGTTTAAAGTCTTGGGTCATAAGAACCCCTAAATATTTCATCTAGGTAGAGGACCTACGAATAATTGTTACTAAAGACTTCCGGCCTACAAGACAATGTCAGGTGGCTGCAAATAAAGCAAG